GAGCTCAAGATCGTCGCGCCGCTCGAGGCGGGCGAGTATGAGCTGCGCGTGCAGGCGCTCTCGCTCGCGGTGCTCGGCGTCGAGGCCTCCGCCTCCGCCTCGCTCGTCGTCACCCCCGCGCCGATCGACGACGCCGACGACCTGGACGACTATTGAAGCACTGGCGGTGACGCCTCGCGACGAGGAGAATAAATAAATAAATAAAACGCACATCCCAAGCTAGGGCTGGGTCGGCACGGATTGGAGATCCCTCACACCAAGATCGTGCAGGGCGGGGACACATGTCCCTAAATCCCATCTCGTCTCAGAGTTGACCGTTTTATTTATTTATTTAGGGCTGGGGGGTCGAGGTACGAGGACAGCCCCCACACCTTTGCAGGATTTTGCAAAAGCGAGGGGGGGGGGGGGGGGGGCCCATCCCCCCCCGGAAAGGGCTGGGCACAGGGCACAGGGGATCTCTCTCCCAAAAAGAGGGGCTCCCAAAAATTCTTTTCCCAACCAGGCGGAAATCTGGGCCCCTGCATGTTCAGCCCAATACCCAGCCCCCCCCGGAGGGGGGGGGAAAAAACTTCCCCCCGCGGCACGGTCGCCCCCCCCCCGGCTGTCAGCGGGGAGGACCCCTTTGTGATCGGCGCGCTCCCCCCCGGTCAAATTGGTCCCACCTACAAAAAAACTGGCCGAAAAAAACCCCCCGGGCTGGGGGACGCCCATCCCGGGGGGGGGCGCACCGACGCTGCTCTTTGGGTCGCTGCGCGCCCCCCGGGGCGGCCCCCCCTCCCGGGACACCTTCCCCCCCCACGGCCGGGAGGGTCAACGGGCGAAATGTCCTTCCAGTTGGATTGCCCCTCCGTGATGGCCTGGAACTTGGAAGAACGGAACGGCGGCAACCTCCTCTTCAAGGGGGTCCTCCCCGGCCTCGACCGGGACTTTTAGGAGGAACTGTCCCCCCCCCCTTGGTGAAAAAAACACACTTCCGGGAAACCTCCCCTCGGGCCGAAACGGGGTCACTTTGCCCCTGCGGGTTTGGCGCCTAAGCCCGGCGTGGCGGCCCAAGGGGC